CTTTTTAAGTTTTGGTCAGTTATTGAAAGTTCATTTTTGTTTTTGTAGTAATTTGTGATTGATTTTATTGACTGCTTAATGGTTTGACAAATTGTAGACATTGGAGCAGATTGTTTTAGATGGAGTTGATATGTTTTGTTTTCAACCTATGCGTCACCGAGATTGTTCCCAGGTGTGAAATCATTGTTCTAGTTTTGCATCTGGTCATTAGCATACCTCTTACCCATTCCCTCAATCAGTTTCTTACATAGGTTGTATTTACCTCTTGTTTGTGCATTGGCAATCTTCTTAGACTGAGATGCTAATGCATTGATAATGAAAATTAAAAAGAATTTATTCTACATTTAACTGAGTTGCTTGTTTTCATTATTATTCAAGGGTAAGGATTGTTTAATTTTAAGTTGGAAAGCTAATTTGCTAAAGACAACTGATGTTACTACATATAAAATGAACATTTTGTTGACCAAGCTAATGACTTTTGTGCTGCTATTGGAGTATGTCTGATGCTGCTTTAACCCTTCTTAGGTACGAAGGTTAGCTGGGATCTATCATTTGTCTAGCAGCTGCCAAGGTTCTGGCAAGAAAAGGTAATTAGAGAATGTGCCTACCCGCATGTGCAGCTGTCCCTGAGTTGAAAAATGGAAATGATGTCTAAACTGATTCAAATTTTTTTTTACAGTTTTGTGACAGTGACACGAACACAGCACACTTGCATGCCGTCTTCAAGTGATAAACTTCGCTTGGAAAAGGTCTCAAAATTCCTTCGCTTTCATCCTTAACTGAATGCATTTGCTTGCTTTGAGTTTCACATTTATAGTTTAGCCACTTGCATTTCCGTTTTTAAGTTTAATAATCAACATGGAGTTCTTCCTCTTGCTGAACACATTTTTGTATTCTGTACCACAGCTAATTGGAGCTGGCAACGAGGATGCTGACTTTGCTATTAATGAAGCTGTAAATTCAAAAGCAGTGACTGCAGGCAGAGGCAGAGCAAATAAGGTTGGAAAAGGGAGTGGTTTAAGCTTGCTGGAATCCCAACAATCTGCTCGAAGCAAATCATCAAAGAAAGGCAAAGGCAATAACAATGGTGAAGTGGGCGAGAAGAAACAGAGTGGGAAAAAGAGTTTATATGCCAATCAGCCTGTCTCATTTGTGTCAAGTGGCATAATGGAACCGGATACTGCCGAAAATAAAACTACAGATTCTAATTGTTTGCCGGAAGCTTGTGACGGTAAGGGAGTTGCTAGTTCAACAAATTTTGGCGCATTTGAGGTACACACCAAAGGTTTTGGATCCAAAATGATGGCCAGAATGGGATTTGTAGAAGGCAGAGGGTTGGGAAAAGATGGCCAAGGTATTGCAGAACCCATTGAAGCTGTAAAACGTCCCAAATCCCTAGGGTTGGGTGTGGATTTCTCTGCCTCAGATGTTGCCGTGAAAGTCTCCAACACAAGTGTTGACTCAGCAGCAAGGGTTCAACATAAAACAATTGGAGCTTTTGAAAAACATACCAAAGGGTTCGGATCAAAGATGATGGCCAAGATGGGGTTTGTTGAAGGCATGGGTTTAGGCAAAGATTCACAAGGAATTCTCAATCCTTTGGCGCCTGTAAGGCGTCCAAAATCTAGAGGATTGGGTGCCAAAGTATAAAAGGCTAATAACTATTATAACATTCGCTTCAACAGAACAATTTTAAGGTTATGTGACTTGTGTCAATGTATTCTAGTTCTTTCAATTTAGCTACATTGTAATTGTCATTGTATTGTTTGGTATCCATTTGAAGTTTGTGACAGGGAAACAAGTTTCTTGCTTGGTCATGGATCCCTATGAGTTCAAGGGCTCATTCTGTTTTTCTTCTAGTTTTTCTTTCTGGCTTCTTTGAATAGAAAGAAACTTCTGCTTTCTTGGGCCAGTCCCACATCACGTGAGAAGTGACAGATGCAGCCAAGAAAATGTGATGAAAGTTGCCGTTCCAAGTCACATTGAACTTCCTACTTTTTCTGGTATGGTCCCTACGTCATTGCAAGTATGCTTTCCTTTTCATCCCTTCAAAATTTGGTCACACAAATGTTATCATGCCTAAAACCGCGATGGGGAAGAAGGGCAGGTTCATCTCTGTAGACTGTCCACCAAACCCTACGTGGAATTGAGGCTTTATGGCCGTTTGATTTGGCTTCATCGTCTGATGGTCAACAAGAATCGTGAAATCCAAGTAAACGGTGGCCTTTTTGGCATTTTCAGTTTGTTTGCTTTAGAGGTGTGTCGTTAGATGTGGGCATTAAACTTTGTTTGTTCGTCCAGTAGCTAGTTAGAAACAGGATTTTTTTAATTTATACCAAATGTTAAGAGTATAATTAAAATTAATATATTTTTAATTAATAAATGATATAAAAAAATAAAAATTAATATTAATTTTATTATCAATGATAGTATATGATTTTAATTGGTTAAGTTAATTTTTAGTCTTTCATATATAATTTAATAACAAAAATTTTATTAATTTTAGTTTTTCTTGTGCTTTAACTTATGTTTGAAAAATCTAAAAAAAAAAGGGGCATCCATTGATCCGAGGAACCGGGAATTTGTTACACCAAGGCGTGAAAATATCCGCCACCTCAACTTTCTAGATTTCCTTTTTGTTCTTCTTTTCTTCATATTCTAAGTGAAAGTCTAGGCTCAAAAACACAATGCTTAATTGGTAAAAATATGATGTCAAATGTCATCTATATTGAAAATGCAAGTTTCAGTCTTTCAACTTTATTTGAAAAAAAAAAAAAAAAGCTATACAACGAAGAAAGTGTACTAATACTATAGGAGTATAGGGTATTATAGAGAAATAAAGACAAGCATTGAACAATTGGCGATACGGTGTCGGTAGCGGCAGCGTAAGAAGTGACATAAAATCCGTTGTCCATCTTTCCACTTCCGCTCCCTCAAGATTCCAGATTTCCCCAAAGCTCTGCCCAAGATCTCAAATTTCTTCAGGGTCTCCATGTACTGCTGAAGCAGGTCAGTTCAGATCCTCAATACCATGTTGTTGATCTTTTTTTTTTCCTTTTTCTGCTTCTGAATTGAATTGGTAGAATTTTTTTTTTTTTTTGAAATTCTTCACTGAAATCAACTTAGAGATATTACTTAATTTTGCCCCTTTTTAGGTCCTTTATTGATCTCAGTCTCCTTGATTTGTAGCAAAATTTGTGTAAAGATGGGTTTTTTGTGCGATTTTAGTATCTGGGTATTCGCCTTTTGCTTGGTATTTCAATCTGGATATGGGTTTTATCTTCCCGGAAGTTACCCTCACAAATATGGCATCGGTGGCACCTTGTCAGTCAAAGTGAATTCTCTCACTTCTATTGATACCGAGATGCCTTATAGTTACTATAGTTTGCCATTCTGTAAACCACAAGAGGGTGTTAAGGATAGCGCTGAGAACCTAGGTGAGCTTCTTATGGGGGATCGGATTGAGAACTCCCCCTATAAGTTTAAGATGTACAACAATCGGACTGACATATTCCTTTGCCAGTCTGATCCCTTATCTCCTGATAGCTTTAAGCTCTTGAAGGAGAGAATTGATGAGATGTATCAGGTTAATTTGATTCTTGACAATTTGCCTGCAATTCGTTATACCAAGAAGGAGGGCTATGTGCTGAGGTGGACTGGGTATCCAGTTGGGATTAAGGTTCAGGATGTGTATTATGTGTTTAACCATTTAAAGTTTAATGTGCTTGTTCATAAGTATGAGGAAACAAACGTGCTGCGTGATATGGGAACTGGGAATGCAGCTGAGGTCATCCCTACAGTTGGAAATGGGGAATCTGATGTGCCGGGTTACATGGTTGTGGGATTTGAGGTTGTTCCTTGTAGTGTCATGCTTAATGCTAATGCTGTCAAGAACTTGCAAATGTATGAAAAGTATCCAACCTCTGTTAAATGTGATCCGAATACTGTGTCAATGCCTATTAAGGAAGGTGAGCCAATTGTGTTCACTTATGAGGTTGCCTTTGAGGAGAGTGATATCAAGTGGCCATCTCGCTGGGATGCTTATTTAAAGATGGAGGCATCAAAGGTCCATTGGTTCTCAATCCTGAATTCTCTTATGGTGATCACATTCCTTGCTGGTATAGTCCTTGTGATCTTCTTAAGGACTGTTAGGCGGGACCTGACTCGGTATGAGGAGCTTGACAAGGAGGCTCAAGCACAGATGAATGAAGAGTTGTCTGGGTGGAAGCTTGTCGTGGGGGATGTGTTCCGCGCTCCATCAGATTCTGCTCTTTTGTGCATTATGGTTGGAGATGGGGTTCAGATTCTTGGGATGGCTGTTGTAACAATATTGTTTGCTGCTCTTGGATTTATGTCACCAGCTTCCCGTGGAACTCTTATTATAGGTATGCTATTTTTCTACATGATACTTGGCATTGTAGCTGGCTATGTGTCAGTTCGTCTTTGGAGAACAATTTGCTGTGGTGATTACAAAGGATGGGCTTCTGTCTCCTGGAAAGCTGCTTGTTTCTTCCCTGGCATTGCCTTTTTGATTTTAACCACTTTGAACTTCCTATTATGGGGCAGTCACAGCACAGGAGCTATTCCATTCTCTCTCTTTGTTGTTCTGCTTCTGCTTTGGTTCTGCATCTCAGTTCCCCTTACCATGGTTGGTGGATACCTTGGGGCAAAGGCTCCTCATATTGAGTATCCTGTTCGAACCAACCAGATTCCTCGGGAAATTCCACCTCAGAAATATCCATCGTGGTTGTTGGTTCTTGGTGCCGGCACTCTACCTTTTGGTACTCTTTTCATTGAGCTTTTCTTTATCATGTCTAGCATCTGGATGGGCCGTGTTTACTATGTTTTTGGATTTCTCTTCATTGTCTTGATTCTTCTGGTGGTGGTTTGTGCTGAAGTGTCACTAGTGTTGACTTACATGCACCTTTGTGTGGAGGACTGGAAGTGGTGGTGGAAGTCCTTCTTTGCTTCTGGTTCAGTCGCCATCTACATCTTCTTGTATTCCATAAACTACCTAGTATTTGACCTTAAGAGTTTGAGTGGACCTGTCTCTGCTACTCTGTACCTGGGATATTCTCTCTTCATGGTTACTGCAATTATGCTCGCAACAGGCACAGTTGGGTTCCTTTCTTCATTCTGGTTTGTGCATTATTTGTTCTCTTCAGTGAAACTGGATTGAAGAAGCTACTCAAAGAGTCAACACTGAAGAATTGGCACATCGAGAATGTTGAAAGCAGAAGCATGCAACCCTTACAAAATCATTTGTTACTTTCTCGGGGATTAGTTAGCTTCTTTTTTTTTTTCCTTTTTTTTTTTTTTAACATTTCTAGGGAACATCCTGGTAATGTAATACAAATAATTTCTAGCAGTTTTGCTGAATTCTTTATTTGAATTCTTTATTTGATTATCATGCATGCGTATTGATGGTAACTCGGTATATTTTTGGGTTTCCTCCTTGTGCTTGATTGTTGTCCCTGTTGGTTATAGTGCCGAGACCACTGTTTACTACTCGCTTCATTTTTTTTTTTTTAATGAGATGATTAAAATTTTTATGCGATGAAAATGTATATGAAAAAAGTGCTTATCAACCTTACTTTCAAAAAATTAAAAGAAAAATTATCCTAACTTCTAAAAAATTAAGAGAAAAATTATTTTAAAATTACATCATTTTAATAAATTTTTATTAAAAAAGATTAAATTATTTTATTTTTAAAACATGCATTAAGGTGATATTTATCTTTTTTTTTTTCTTAATTTTTTGGAAGTAAGGCAGACAAGCACCAACTCCAATGTATATTTACACAAGTTTTAACCTGTAAAATTTTCGATATGGGCATTAATATTTGAAAACAAGTGGTATTAATCTTAGTACCGCAGACCAAATGGGACAGTATATG